ATACTTTATTTCTCTTTCACTTCTAAAGGATAAATTTGTAGGAAATAATGCTGTTGGTTACAATTCTTTTTCTTTCAAAACTTTTGATATATCATACCATTCTCTTCTGGTCTATAGGATTTGTGCTGATAAATCTGCTATTAGTTTAATGGGTTTTTCTTTTTATGCAACTTGATTTTTTTTCTTTTACTGTATTTAGGGTTAACTCCATTTCCTTAGTGTTTTTTTTTTTTTCAATTTGACTATAGTATGCCTTGGAAAATATCTTTTTTGGGTGAGTCTGGTTAGGGAGTCCTTGGAGATCCCTATATCTGGATGTCCATATCTCCTGAGAGACTTGGAAATTTTTCAACTATTGTTTCGTTCAGTAAGCTATGAGTGCCTTTTTCCTTTTCTTCAGGTATCTCTACAATATGAATATTTGTTTGCTTATTGGTATCCCATGTGTTGTGTAGGTTTTCTTTATTCTTTCTCTTTATTTTTGTGGGCCTGGATTATTTTGAAGTCTTGTTTTCCAGATCAGATTTTTTTTATTCTGCTTTGTTTATTCTGTTGTTGAAGTTCTCAGTTGTATTTTTTATTGCATTGATTTACTATTTCAGCTCAAACATTTCTGATCTTTCTTTCTTTCTTTCTTTCTTTGACAAGCAGAGTGGACAGTGAGAGAGAGAGAAACAGAGAGAAAGATCTTCCTTGTCTGTTGCTTCACAGCCCAATGGCCGCTGTGGCCAGCGCATTGTGCTGATCCAAAGCCAGGAGCCAGGTGCTTCTCCTGGTCTCCCATGCGGGTGTAGGGCCCAAGGCCTTGGGACATCCTCCACTGCACTCCTGGGCCACAGCAGAGAGCTGGACTGGAAGAGGAGCAACCGGGACAGGATCTGGTGCCCCGACCGGGACTAGAACCCGGTGTGCCGGCGCCGCAGGTGGAGGATTAGCCTATTGAGCCGTGGTGCCGGCTACATTTCTGATTTTTTAAACAATTTCTATCTTGAATTTCTCATTCCTATCGTGTATTGTTTTCCTCATTTCTTTAAGCTTTCTGCATATATTCTCTTGCATCTCATCGAATGCCTTTAGGATCATTATTTTAAATATTCAGGTATTTTGTGGCTGTCTTTCAAATCTGTATTTGTTCCTGTAGAACCATAGCATTCTTTTGGAGGTGATAAGGTTCCTTGCTTTTTCATGTTTTCTGTGTCTTTACATTGACATATGTACATATGTTGCAACAGTTCCTTCTTCTTTACCAAGTGAATTTCAATGAAAAAGATTTTTTCTTTTGAGGAATTGTGGGGTATCACTTGGGTTGTTGCTTTGGTTCTAGGTGAGTGCAGACAGAATTTTTCTGCCTGTGTGGTTTCTTCATGTGTATTTAATGTTGGCAACATCTAAGAATGTCACAGTTATCTAGGTTTCAGAAGGCCGGAGAGGTAGTAGTTTGCCTTTGAATTAGATGTAGTTTTCCCAAAGTGTGCATTTGCAGTTTCCAGAGAGTTGAGTGTCAGTCATACTAGGGTTATTGATGGTATTAGCCACAATCTGGGTCCTAAGGGACACAGAAGGCTCTGTACTAGGCAAACCTGAGAGATTCAGAATTTTGTGCACCAATAGCTGTAGCTATGAGACTGTGTGATTTGAATGGAATGAGACTTTCTCCATTTCCTGCTGCATGGGCCTATCTGATGTTGCAGCTTATAGCATCAAAATCCTTAGTCCCAGCACTGGGGGATATGAAAAGGACTTTGTCCCAGTCCTATGAGCTGAATACAGATTATTCTAGGGATTATGCTCTGGAAGGTGAAGCTATGAAGTGGATTAATGCAGGTAGGTTCTTCCTACCCACAGAGTAGGGTTCACTGGCTCTTATATAATGCTAACATTCACATTCCTGGAGCTACAGGATGAGGGTGGTTCTTCTTTTTCATTTTTTATTTTAATTTAAATTAATTTTAACAGATTCATTATGATTTGTAGATACAAATATAAGAACATAGTGCCATTCCCTTCCTCCCAACCTCCCACCTTGCTTCCTTGTACTTTTTGTGTTTTTTTTAAGATTTATTTTATTTGAAAGGCATAATTATATATACAGGTGGAGAGACAGAGAGATCTTCCATCCACTGGTTCACTCCCCAAATAACCACAATTTCCAGAGCTGGGATGATCCAAACCCAGGAACCTAGAGCCTCTTCTGGATCTCCCATGTGGGTATAAGGGCCCAAGCACTTGAGCCATCATCCTCTGTTTTCCCAGGCACATTAGCAGGGAACTTGATTGAAAGTGGAGCTGGGACTCGAACTGATGCCCATGTGCAGTGCTGGAATCACAGGAGACAGTCTAACATGATACACCACAATGCTGGCCCCTACATTTCTTCCTTTTTTTTAGTTTTTGAGAGAACAGATTTTTTTTTTAAACTTTTATTTAATGCATATAATTTTCCAAAGTACGACTTATGGATTACAATGGCTTCCCCCCCATAACGTCCCTCCCACCCACAACCCTCCCCTTTCCCACTCCCTCTCCCCTTCCATTCACATCAAGATTCATTTTCGATTATCTTAATATACAGAAGATCAGCTTAGTATACATTAAGTATGGATTTCAACAGTTTGCTCCCACACAGACACATAAAGTGAAAAATAATAGATGATTTTTTTTAAATGATGATGAAATCAGAGCAGACCTATTGTCATGTTTAATCCCAGTGAGAGTCAAGTTGG